AAGCAAGAAATCACCCCCCCAGGGGAGATGGCCACGCTGCAATCCCTTCTCCTCCATTCTCCTCTTGGGGTCTCGGGCATGTACACACACGCACCCGGCATGAGTTTAAGCCACCATGTTTAGGATTTGAACCGCAGTCAACTACATGCGTCCAGCGACATAGCCATTATGCCAACTGTTTGTCCCAATACTTTTTTTTAAGATTTAATTTTTTAAAGAGATTTTGCTATAAGGCACATGCACTTGCTGGAGAGGCAGAGACAGAAAGCGAGAAATCACTCCCTGGGAGGACTGCCACACCAAAATTCCCTCACCTCCACTCTCTCTTTGGGATTTTAGATGTGCACGCACACACTCCTGGCACACCTCAAGCCACGGGGTCCAGGACTTGAACCACGGTTGACCACATGGGAGTCTAGCAATGCAACCACTATGTCATTTGTTGGTCCAATTTTTCATTTTTTTTTTTTTTTTTAAATTTTGCTATAGGGCACATGCAGTCACCAGAGATGGGGAGTGAGAAAGCAAGGCACTAGATCTGGGACTCAAACCACAGTCAACTCTGTGGGAGTCCAGAGCCATAACCACCATGCCACCTGCTGGCCCTAGTCATACCTTTTCTTTAAATGTTAAGATAATGAGAATTTGTGTGACTGTGTCAGTCTCACTCCCTCTTTATAAACCCACAAATATCCATCCAGTCATGGGGGCTCCATTCTGATGCCGTTGTTTAATTCTTTCTTTTTAAAGAATTATTTAACTTTATTTTTTCATTTATTTATTTTAATTTGACCACAGAGGGACAAAGAGAGAGAGATGGAATGTGAGAAAGCAAACCACCAGATGGAGGACTCGAACTATGGTCAGCCATATGGGATTCCAGCACCCTTAACCACTATGCCACCTGCCAGCCCTGCTGTTATTTAATTCTAATCACCTCCCAAAAGCTCTACCTCTTAATCTCACAGTTGGATTAAGTTCTCACCCTATTAAACAAATTTCAAACCATAAATTTTAGAGGGATACATTGGATCCATGGCACACCCAAAGCCCAGTCTTGTCACAGGGCCCTTGCACTTGCCATGCATTCTGCCAGAAGTCCCTTAGCCATGAACTCCCCTCCTTTCTACATGTTCACTCATGTGATCCTCATCAAAACAGAGAAGTACAATTATTGTCCTGATTTTTACAGATGAGAAGTTCTACAGACCTAGAGAGACTGAGTCTTCCTTAAGGCCTCCCCCCATCAACCCTCTCCAAAATACCTGCAATGCTGTTCTAGCTCCTGGTCCTACACTGTCCTTCCAAAACTCTGTATGTACCTCCAATCAGTGCCTCACACATGGTAGACACTCAACAATCTACTGAAATAATGGAGAAATGTCGTCATATCTTCTTGTCCGCTAAACTGAGTTCCCTGAGTGAAAGTAGCATTTTATTAATCTTTGTGGCCTCTGAGGTAAATATCCAATAAATGTTTACTGATAAAATCAGAGAAGGAAAAGAAGAGTACCAGAATAAATTGATCCGACAGTTAAGGGTGTTAAAAACTGTTAATATTTTGGGACCAACAGGTGGTGTGGTGGTTAAAGTGCTGGACATTCCCACACGGCCAACCACGGTTCGAGTCCCAGACCTGGAGGCATGCTTTCTCACTTTCCTTCTCTTCTTTCTGTGCATCTCTCACTGGTCAAATTAAAATAAATGAATGAATATATAAAATCAAATAAATAATTTTAAAAAGACACTAAGTATTTTAAAATAGGTTTATTTTCTATTATATATTTCACATGGAAGACTTCAAGAAACAAATTAATGACAATGATTTCAAAATGCACTCCCTGGATTGAATAAATAGCCTTTATAATTATACCTAATCAATAACTAGAAATGTGTGTAGACACTAAGTCAGCTAATAAGTAAAATCAGCATGTAAACTATAAATCTTAAGGATGGGGACCATGCACGATCAGTGAAGTCACTGTGCTGTTTTTATGATAACATGATTCACGTTGCTTCAATCACAGGTACATTCATCGCGAGAGTTAGACCATGGATGCTAACTTAAAACAACAATCTTTGTTACTTTAAAAGAAAATTCAGTTTAATACAAAGAAATTGAAGATTTCAGGACCCTTGATCAGAAGTTTTTGATGCTTGTTGTACTACTTTGGTGTAGACAGACATTCAAGTAAGGCTAAGAAAGAAGAGTTGCCTTCACCCCCACTGAAGACATGATCTAGGCAGTCTGTAAAATCTAGCTGGCCATCAGGATGTTACCAACACAGGACTCGTTATAACAGCGCTGACGTTTAAAGAGCCTTAGCCAGAGTTACAAAAACAAAACAGCTAGAGTAACAGTTACGAATACAAGCATAACTTGTCTTTTTGCCTTCTATAAATAATTGTTTTTGAAATGCTAAAAGTAGGTTCCAACTGTGGTTCGTTCCTGGTGGGAGGAGCTGCAGACCATGGGATGATCTACTGATTTACCTTCTCAAAGTACTCTTTGGAAGCAGCCGGACTTGGCTTAATCTGAAAACATAAAAACATTCGCATGGGTAACTGTGACTTTATAGTGGTCTTAAAAATGAGTTGAAAGCTCCCAGTTTTTAACCTAAAGTTCTTTAATTAAAAAAAAATTATTATTTAATTTTGCTATAGAGTAAATGTACTCACTGGAGATAGAGAAAGAGGGAGAGAGTGAAAGTACCCTTGGGGGAGATGACCATGCTGCAATACCTTTTCCTCCATTCTCTTCTCTGGATTTTGGGCACGCATGCACATGCATCCAGTATGTTTTTCAAACCATCAGGTCTGGGACTTGAGCTACAGAGTTGGCCACGTGGGATCTACTAGCCTTAAGCACCATGCCATGCCACCTGGCCCAAGTTCTTTAAATGTTTAAAGACTGGTCAGTTTCTTGTAAAAACACATGGTGAAAGTTACCTCAACAGCATGCCTGGTCCCTCGCTCCCACCCCTTCAACTCCCATTTGCATGCCATCTGCATCCCTCCTCCAAAGCTGGGTTCTCTTGTGGATATTTCAGGCCAATAGTCCCTGAGACAGAGAGGACTTGGGACACTGTAAGGGAGTCCCATTGCTTTGGGAGAAAGAAACCTACTGTGGGAGAATCTGGTGTCCAATTTGCTGGGCAGACTTCTCCATGGCTTTCCACAAACTGGAATGCCTTCACCAAGCGGAGGGTCTCTTCCACGCTTCGGCCCACTGGAAGATCATTGACACTCAGGTGCTTGATGACTCCATTGGGGTCAATTATGAAGAGACCTCTGCATGATAAAGTATGCTCATTAGAACCTCAACAATACCAGCACTAGAAAGAGCCTAACTGCTACCTTCTATGGCTTTAATGCTCCTTTTAGTAAAACATTTATTAAGCCCAATCACATGCTCGATACTGGGGTTTTCACTGTTGTACAAAAAGCTTATCGTCTCTTAGGATGACAGATGCTTTGACAAAGACAGGACTAGACAAGGTCACCATGGGAAACATTCAATATGGTCACACTTACAAACCTACATTGTACCCACGATGTCAGACCTTATCTAAAAGGCACTGAAATGGTGAGCGCAGTCTTCTTTACTTACTAGTAATTTGGCAAGCAGTTGTTGGGCTGCTTTAACAAATCTTGGCAAGAAACGATAAATGGGAAGAGACAAAGACTTATTTTATCTATATCCAACAAATATTGACTAAATGAGTGCATTCTTGGGTAAAATCCATGGGAAAATTTTTGCCGAAAGAACTGACTGTCCTTCAGTCTCTCCTTCATCACCTACCAGTGGAATGAGAGGCCCCACCTTACCTCAGGGGCCTGTGTTCACCCTCTTGTGCTGCTGCTCCTAGGATATATGTGGTTATCTTATTTATTTATTTATTTATTGAGAGAGATTTTTGCTATAGAGCATATGTGCTCGCTGGAGAGACAGAAAACAAGAAATCACCCCGCAGAGGGGATGACCACAACACAATCTCTTCTTCTCCATTCTCCTCTTGGGATTTGGGCATGCATGCATGCACACACACGTACCTAGTGTGAGTTTCAAGCCATCAGGTCCAGGACTCAAACTGCAGGTGGCCATATGGGAGTCCAGCACTTTAACCACCATGCCACCTGCTAGCCCCACATATGCAGGTATTTTAACCCAGACGTTTAACGGTTCCTCTTAGAAGGGTGTGGGAAGTCCCAGAGTTAATCACTCAGAGAAAGGGCAAGTTAGACTAAACTCAAAGTAAAAAGGGGCTTCTCCTTCCTGGGGCCTAGCACACAGGGCTCTGGGCTTTGAGGTTTAACTGGTGCTGGTGCGTGCTCCTGTAGGGGAGCCAGTGGAGAGTCTACCTGGTAGAGGCAGAAAGCTGAGACAGCGCACGCCCAGGGATGCAAGAAAGAAAAGTTTATTTTACTAGCCAGACTCAGCTTCTCTACCTTGCCAATCCTGATATGGAAGCTGGCAGAGAGGTAACTGCAAAATTAGCAGGATCCCACAAGGAACGCGACTCTGGGACCAAAATAGCTACCACTCTTTCTCCTGCCATGGCCAACTCCGAATGAGCTAGGCTTTAGTTTATTAAAGGAAATGGGAATTTCCTTGAAGGTAAAAAAGGCCCAAACTCTAAGGGACCAGTCAGCACTAAGATCCCAGGAGGGATTTTAATCTCCCAAGAAAAGACAAGGCCAGAGGTCAGCTACAAGAGAGGACGGGTGAGCTGGATTCCAGCTGGCCCCAGCGAAACTGTGATGCACAAGAAGGCAGGGCCCTCGCCTCCTTCTGGAGGTCACGTTCTGCCCAGTGCCGCCTCTGCTCTCCTCTGCAGACATCAAGAGATTAGCTCTAATGCCTAAGTTCTCATCCCTCCCAGTAGGGAGAGGGTAGCTGAGCTTGAATGTGGGACTGTTGAAGGGGGAACACTTCAAACTTAACAGAATAAAGGTTTAACCACAGAATAAATGAGGATAGAAATGACATTCTGGGACAGAAGTCATAACAGCTGCCAAGAACTATGCTTAAAACTCCAGGTGCCTCATCTGTTTAATCCTCTCAACCAACCTGTGAGGCACATCCTCATTTTAATTGTGGGAAAACAGCCTCAGAAAGTCTAAAGTACTTGCCCTACGTTACATAGCTATTAAGTAACTGATCTTAAAAAATACCAAGGGACCAGCAGACGGTGTAACTGTTATATTGCTGGACTCCCACATAGTTGACCATGGTTTGAGTCCAGGACCTGGTGGCTTAAAACTCATGCCAGGGGTGCATGTGTGCTCAAGATCCTAAGAGGAGAACAGAGGAGGAGGAAAAAGGGACTATGGCATGGCCATCCCCCAGGGGGTTATTTCTTGCTCTCTCTCTCTCTCTCTCTGGAGATTACACATGCTCTACAGCAATAATCTCTAACTAACTAACTAACTAACTAAATATCAAACCAGGTCTGTTTGATTCTGTTAAACAGGGCCTGTATGAGACTGTTACCATTCTGGGAGACTGCCTCTCACTCTGATGGCTTTACTGGCCCCCTGGCCCCACTCTCAATGCAGTGGCTCCTGATTAGGCAGAGAATGGTGCAGTGTCGAGACATAGATACAGCCTTCAGAAAGACCGCTAGGGTGCTGGAGGGGGACAACCACTTCAAAAAGACTGCCAACTCTTCCAAAACCAAAATCATTAAAAGACTAAGGATTTCTGGTTTTAAAAATGCTTTACCAAAGTCTATTTATAGCCCCTAAAAAAATATAATGATGCTGGGACCAGCAGTTAGTGTAATGGCTATGTCGCTGGACTCCCACATAGTCGACTGCGGCTTGAGTCCTAGACCCGATGGCTTAAACTCATGCCGGGAGCATGTGCATGTGTGCCCAAGATCTGAGAGGAGAATGGAGGAGAAGGGATTGTGGTGTGGCCATCCCCCCCGGGGGGTGATTTCTCGCTGTCTTTCTCTCTGTTTCTGTCTGGCGAGTGCACGCACCTTATAGCAAAACAAAACAAAACAAAACTTCTCCAAAAGAAGAAAAAAAAAATACAATGATGCTAACCTTGAGAAGCAATTTTAAGTTTAGAACAAGATCTTACCTTAGTGCAAGACCAGGACCTTCTAACAGCACACCGTAGTCTCGAGAAATTTGTTTAGTTAAATCTGACAAGAGTGCGATGTTCATGTGGCCCAAACCGCCATTCTAATAAAAATGCAAACATGACTGTTGTTACACTGTGTGCTCTCACATTTCTGACAGTGTTTGAGACCAACAATAATGACAACAGAGGACAGTAACTGAGCACAAACAATCGGCACACTCAACATTCTATTAACTCACTTCCTCCTCACAGACGAGGAGGTACTATCACACCATTTTACAGGAAACTGAGGCACATACGGCTTCAGTAATTCGCTCCAAGTCATGGCTAGAAAGGGGCAGAGATAGGATTTAAACCAGCAAATACCACAGACTTTTCTTTAATTTTCTTTTTTTCAGGTTTTTGCCATAGGGCGTGCGGACTCAACAGAGAGAGGGAAAGTAAGAAATCACTCCCCAGGAGGGATGGCCACATTGCAATCCCTTCTTCTTCATCCTCCTCTCAGGACTTTGCACACATATGCACACGTATCCACTGTGATTTTCAAGCCACCAGGTCTGAACCACAAATCATGGTCAGCCACATGGAAATCCAGTACCTTAATCACAATGCCACCTGCTGGCCCCTCTCTGATTCTTAAGACATTCGTTAGGTGGGAAACAAATTTCTCAAACATAAAAATGGGAGAGTAACACAAAACACTGAATAATTAGATCCTAATAGTCTAATACGTAGCTAGAAATTTTGATTCTTCTACGGAAGTTTCTAGGCAAGATCATTGATCACAGGGCCAGTGAAATCAGAGCTCCTAACTGCCTTCCCACAGGCCACAGAGGGTATAGAGGATCTATGGAGAATGCATCTGAGAGGGGCCCAGCTGTTTTCCCTGCCCTGCTGAGCCTGTTTCCACTCTGTACCTTAAGAACACGTGTGTATGAGGCCAGCAGGTGGCGCAGTAGTTAAGACGCTGGACTCCACAAGGCTGACTGCATTTCAAGTTCCTGAGCTGGTGGCTTAAAAATCATACCAGGCGCATGTGCATGGGTGCCCAAAGTCAAAATCCCAGGAGAATGGAGAAGGGACTGTGGCATGGCCACTCCCTTGGGGAGGAGATTTCTCACTTTTCCTCTCATTATCTCACTCTGTTTCTCTCTGGCGAGTGCACACGCCCTGTAGCATAAACCTTTAAAAAAAAGAACACGCGTGTACTGGCAGCTAATATCCATGCACTGTCAGGAGAGTTTCATGGACTGCCAGTAAGTGCGAACTGCAAAGAGCCCGTGTGGACTAGTTATGCTAGGTAGACCAGATTTCAGGCCGACCTGCTCTGAGATTTTAAAACCCTGAGTGCAAAGGCGCAGTGAGTGATGCTATACCTTCCTCGGTGTGTTTATCCAGGCAAGATGGCTGAAGTGGGAGTCCACAGAAACTGCCACGACCTCACAGTTCACATCATGAAATTCATTCGCTTTGTCACTAAAAGCAATAATTTCTGTAGGACACACAAAGGTGCTAGAAAACAAAGTAAACATTCTTATGAGTTTACATCTCAGAGGATGTAAAACCAAGGATTTAAAATTTCAACAGTATGGAACCAGCAGTTGGCGTAATGGCTGTGTTGCTGGACTCCCACGTGGTCGACTGTGGTTCAAGTCCCGGACGCGGCGGCTTAAACTCACGCCGGGCGCGTGTGTGTGCGTGCCCAAGATCCCGAGAGGAGAATGGAGGAGAAGGGATTGTGGCGTGGCCATCCCCCCTGGGGGGTGATTTCTCGCTCTCTGTCTCTCTTTGTCTGGAGAGCGCATGTGCCCTAAGAAGTAATAAATAATTTTAAAAAATAAATAAAAAAATAAAATAAATAAAATTTCAACAGTAAGCAACCTAAAAGCTAGTTCAATATGCTTATGGATGAAAAAGGCAAAACGGAAAAACCTATCTCCTATTAATTTCTTATTTAAAATTGTACCTAAAAACGGGGGAGGGGGAGATACAAAACATTTTTTAAAAACTTTTTAAGAGAGATTTTTTTGTTATAGGATGCATGCATTAGCAAGAAAGACAGAAACACAGAAAGCAAAAGATAACCCCCCCCCAGGGGACATAGCCACACCACAATCCCTTCTCCTCTCAGGATTTTGGGCACACACACACACCTGGTATGAGTTTCAAGCAGCTGTGTCCGGGACTTGAACTGTGGTCGACTACATGGGAGTCTAGCAACGTAACCATGTGGTTACGGTCCCTCCCAAAAAACTATTTTAATAAAGTAACTTTATAAAACAATTTCAGTTTATTACCCTTATTATTCTCATTTTTCTCTGAAACAGTGAAAACTTCTTCAAAGACTGGCTTAGGAAATCACTGCTCAGAGCACATAAAAAAAGAGCCATATTAAAACCCTATCAGTGGGGTCAACAGGTGGTGTGGTGGTTAAGGCCCACTGGACTCCCACATGCTTGAATGCTGTTTGAGTCTCGGCCCTGGTGGATTACTTTCTTTCTCTGATGAGAGCATGGGCCCTATATCAAATTTAAAAAAATAAATAAAAATAAATGGAATAATTCTTTAAAAACCCTATTGTTGGGGCCAGCAGGTGGCATAGTGGTTGGGGTGGTGAACTCCCACATGGCTGACGGTGGTTTGAGTCCTAGACCTAGAGGCTTGTTCTCTCTCTCGCTCTGTCCCTCTCTGATCAAATTAAAATAAAGTTAAAAATAATTCTTTAAAAATAAAATAAAACAAAAACCCTACCGTTGGGACCAGTAGGTAGCTTAATGGTTACATTGCTGGATTCCCATATAGTCAACTGTCTCCAGGCGAGTACACCAGGCCTACAGTAAAAATCTCTTTAAAAAATATATATCCTATCATTAAAAAAGAACTATTAAAAATCTCACTGTAGGACCAGCAATTGGAGTAATGGCTATGTCGCTGGGGTCCCACGTAGTTGACCACTGTTCAATTCCCAGACCTGGTGGCTTAAACTCATGCTGGGGCGCGCATGTGTGTGTGTGCGTGTGTGCCCAAGATCCTGAGAGGAGGATAGAAGAGAAGGGATTGCAGCATGGCCACCGCCCCCCCTCCCCCCACACGGAGGTGATTTCTCTCTTTCTGTCTGTCTGTCTCTTTCTGGCAAGCGCATGTGCTCTATAGCAAAAACCTCCAAAATCAATCAATCAATCAACCAACCAATAAAAAAAACTAACCAGTAAAAGGAATGCCACCCCACCCCCTAAGCATACCATTTGTAAATCAGCCACTGATACAGGCTATAATCGACAAGGCCATCAGTGACAAAGGCTGAGAAAGAATTTTTCCCTTAATAAGAACAACTAGCGATAGGCAATTGCACTGTAGAAACAGGATCTGTGCTTACTGCTCTAAGAACGACATGAACGCATTACAGACATTATACTTACAAATCCAAAGGATAGAAGAAAAGCACCAAATATTTCCCCTTAAAATCATCAAGGCTTAGGTCTTTGAACTCTCCTTTGACAACAGCTGTACCCTTGAAATAGGGTGCATGCTGGGTGACAGCAGGGGCCTGGTAGGAGGAACCTGGAAAAGACACATGTGCATCAATTCATCATTGGCTACTCGGGCACCTATCTGACTCCCACGTAAAGGTCTCATGACAATCAGCTAGTACAAATAGCTTAACAGTATAAGCCAAGTAAAAGATTTCATTTAATTCTATGTGGGGCCTTCAAGTTCATGGAAAGTATATGTTATAAAAAAAATGCATGGATTTAAAAAAATTTTTTTTAACCAAAATAAATTCATCCATTCATTCCACTTGACCCTGACATCCTAGATCAAGTCATTTCTCCTCCTACTGTCCTGGATTACACACGCAATTCAAAGTGCTATGAAAACTCAAGAGAAGACAAAGATAGTAGAAATGGAATTAGCATGAAATCAAAGCAGACATGAGCCTGGAGACGGACGGATTCCAAATACAGTTCGGATTTTGTCAAGTCTAGATGGGAGAGGGCAAATACTGTGGAGGAACAGGAAGGAGTGAAGGGGGACAGCAGATGGCGTAATAGTTACATCACTGGACGCCCACATAGTCGACCACAGTTCAAGTCCTGGACCCAGTGGCTTAAAACTCATGCTGGGACAGGATCAGCAGGTGGCATAGTGGAAGGGCACTGGACTCCCCTACATGGCCGACTGCAGTTCGAGTCCTGGACCTGGCGGCTTGCTTTCTCATTTCCCCCCTCTCTCTCTGTCGCTCTCTGATTAAATTAAAATAAATAAAGTTAAATGACTCTTAAAACACAAACACAAACAAAAAAACCTCAACTGAGCATGTGTATGTGCATGCGTACCCAAAATTCTGAGTAGAGAATAGAGGTAAAGGGATTATGGTGTGGCCATTCCCCTGAGGTGGTGGTATGTGTTGGGGTGATTTCTTGCTTTCTGCCTCTCTGTCAAGCATATGTACCCTTTAGCAACAATCTCTCTTTAAAAAAAAATAAAAAGGGGTCGAGGGAAGGAACAGGGCACGTGTGGAAAATGGCCTGTGGCACCATTAGATTAGAATGAAGAGAGTCCAAGGGTACAGAAGGCAGAA